GTATATTTGTATGGTAGGCTTGTTTATTGTTCTTCAAGATATAATTCTATACTTTCCTTAAGTAAATTTTATTGCTTAGTTTTGACTATTTCCTTTCATTTTACTTTCATGTAATTTGGCCAACCTCATTTCCAAACCTTGCTTCAACACCAAGCCACTCTACCCACCATGGAGTCTTTTAAAGAAATATCAGATTCATGTTTTCTGTTATGCCACCTAGACTCGTAGATAAAATACCTAAATCCTCAACTCAGATCCAAACCCTAGATGTACTTCCAGCAGCTAGCTCCTTGGCTTTAACCATTCTCTGGTTACACAGATCCACATAGCTTTGCATGAACTACAAAGTTGTGTATGCTGGGCAGTATTTCCTAACTTTGCAGATAATAATATTATCCTGGACCTAAGGTCAAGGGAAGTCATACAAACTAGCCTGGCAGTGTTTTCCTAAAGAAGCTATTTTCAGGGCGCCTGGGTGGCTCAGTCGGTTAAGCATCCGACTTTGGCTGAGTTCATGATCTCGCAGTTTGTGGGTTTGAGCCCCATATTGGGCTCTGTGCTGACAGCTCGGAGCCTGGAGACTGCTTCAGATTCTATGTCTCCCTCTCTCTCTGCCCCTCCGCTGCTTCTGCTCTGTCTCTCAACAATAAATAAATGTTTAAAAAAAAAAAAGCTACTCTCATAGTTCTTTTGAAAAAATCAGGGTGTTATTAGCTTAATAATCCTCTATAAATTTTTCCAGAAGTTGGATTATATTTTTCCCATTTCAAAAAAAAAAAAAAGATATTTGAACCAGCTTCTAATTTTCTTAAGCCTCAACAATATTTAAAAAAGACTACTTAATAATTTTTATTGATCTGACAGGTCTTCAAATATACAGAACAAACTCAGAGGACTCATGGGTTTTCCTATATTTAGTTTATTTAATGACATTTGCCCAGGATTTGTTTTGGTGTCCTGACTTCATATTTTATATAATATTTGCTCCTAATTTCCAATCACATATAGAAATATTTCCATATACATATTTCATGATCCTATTAAGAAGGATAACTTCTAGTTACACTATCAAATTCCATAATCAGAATTTAAAATAATAGAAAGGGAAAAGGATACACCACAGCCGGTAGGTTAGAAATGTCACTGTCACATATACCATTAGATATTTATCCTGTGACTATATCTTGAGCAGCTACATCCCAGGCACTGTGCAGGTGATGCGGATTCAGACGTGCACAAGGCAGATGTGGCCTCTGCCCTGAGGGAAGTTTCAGCGCAGCTCCAAAAATCAAAGAGAAAAGATGTTGAAAAATAAATATATTACTGGAGGTTTGAGGGAGAAGGAAAAAGCACACTATAGTTAAAGCAAATGCTACAGGTGACACAGATGAGTTTGAGGGGAAGGGAGCATGCAAGGCTGAGGAGCTCCAGATGCTGAAAGAAGTCAGTATACAAAGAAGCCAAGCTCCTCTAATGCTTGTGGCTTCTGAGATCAAACACCAGAAGTCCAGCCTATGTTCCCCAGGGAACTGGAGCCAAGAACAGAACATGAAAAGCTAAGAATGACTTCAGAGCCCCACTCTCTGGTGAGATCATGACCTGAGCTGAAATCAAGAGTTGGACACTTAACCGACAGAGTCACCTAGGTGCCCTAAACTGAGAAAGGATTTAAAATGGGAGGTATATGAGCTCAGGAAGGAGGTAGCATTTAGGCTGGGCCTTGAAGAAGATACAGCTAGTAGAGATCTGGTCAAGGGTGAGGTACGTGGTAGGAAGATACTGGGATTGTCATGGTCCCTGGAGTGATAAGCAAGGCTGAGAAATCAGGAGAGGCAGAAAACAGGAAAGTGTGTTTGCCAAAAATTACAAATTCCAACTCACTGAAATATGGCTAGTGAAGTTCTAAAAAAAAAAATATGCAGAGTGGAGCAAAGGAAAAACTACATTAGGTGAGCAAATGTTTTTAAGTCAGGACTACAAAAAAGGATATAATTCAAAAGTTAAAGATGCTAAACACAGGATTAGACGTTTGTATGAAGAATGAATCGCTGATAGCAATGACTCATCGCTATGTGCATGTGAACTCTACATGGAATGAAATACAGCAGCTTCAATCAGTGCTAGGATACAGGGGTGTTAATCCTTACCACTTTCTCAACAGCTACCAGGTGACAGGAGCTGTCCTTTACATGGATTGCTACACTTAGTCCACAAAATAATCCAATTAAGTGGGTTTTATTAACCACATTATATACAAGGAAACTGGGGCTCAGAAAAGTTCCACAGCATGAATGAGTTTACATTCCTCCTGGACAGTAGAGCCAACATTTGAGCAGCTTTTCCCATCTTGAAGCCGCACTCTTTCCCCCAAGCCAATGGGGGACTGATTGAGACTGATTTATATTTTAAGAGAAATTAAGTGGATTCAAGGATACTTCCATAGTAATGTCACCCTCACTGGTTGTGAGTTCATTTCATTTTGCACTTTATATAGTGATCTAGGACTAGAGCTACAGTCTGCACTTCAGGGACTGAGAATGTACTGCAGCCTATCTGAGAACATCACTGTCAAGTGGATGAGAACAGCTGATGAAAAAGAGTAAAATGTTTCATTAAGTTCTTAAGCAGTCATGTAACAGAGATCAATGGCAAGAACACAGGTTTGAGAAACAGATGGCCCTGATTCCAAATATGAAGGCTGCTATATACTAGTTACATGGAAAACCACAGACAGGTGATTTTACTTCTTCAATCATGTAGTTATTATGGCACATTAACAGTAAATTTTTGTAGAAAAAAGAAAGGCTGCTTTGGATAACAGAAAAGTACATCATTAAGGCTAAGGAGGGTTGGCTTCCTTCTGGCAGCAAGTTAGCTGTCTGGTCTTGGGCAGGTCACATACTCTGACTCTCTTCTGTAAAATAGAGACAGTCACCTTCTCCCTAAGTATTTATTGTAAGAATCTGAGTATAATGTATGTTAGGCATCTAGAGCAGCTAGACTATATTATATAACAATGTGCCATATTAAATCATTAATACAATGCTTGGAAAAGTATGTATAACTTCCCACCCCATTTATTTTTAAACCTAGGCTGTATTATATTGTTACTGGTGACTATAAGTTAAAAATGCTGCAGACTATTGGAAAATCATAAAAACAATTTGGTAAAAATTAGGCACATTAGGAATTTTAAAAATTGCTAACTTTGTATTGTTTTAAAAAGATAAACTTCCCATAAGTGGAAAATCATTCATTCAACCCCCCGACTGAAAGCATTCCCTTCTAAAACATGCCATTAAACAAAGTACTTAGTCAATCTGGGAAATAAGAGACTAGTGCCATTAATAAAGACTTTGATAAGTTTGTTACTAAGAAAATTGTTCCATATGCTTGCTATCTGATACCACTGTTAAATTGGTAGGCCTGATCTGTGGTCTATCCATCACATGAGACATCAAAACACATCTATCCTTGCAAAGCTGGTCTCCCACCCCTCGAAGCAAACAAACAAACTGACCTCAAGACAGGATTTAAACGAATCATCCAAAGTAAATCGGGGTTACACTCCTGGTCTTCACTATTTAAGCCAGTCAGAAAAAAATGCAAATGCTATAGATTAGAGTTGTATACATCTGTGTTCACATATCCAACACACGGTTTATGAATCTGAGCAAATGTGGGGAAATTCAACTTACGTTTTGGGTTTACTGAAGTCATTAAAAAATAAAGAAAAAAAATGTATACCCGTATAAGGGTGATTGGTTCCAGTGATTCTGCAGTGTTGTGCCAAACAAGAGGGTTACCATCACTTGGCCTCCTCTCCCATCTAGATGCCATTTTCCTAACTTGTCTATGAAAGTAACCTCGTGGAAACCACGCCATACCTGTCTGGAAATGTGCCCATTGGTTGAGGCTCCATTTCTTACCTTACAAGAGGTATGTGACTACTTCCGCCCCCAAAAAGCTGCGATGTAGAAGGTCACTCAAGCCTCCCTTTGCCCAGCACTAGCACTCCCACAAAGATTGGCTCTTTTTTCGTTTTGTTTCTACTTTAAGGAGGATGGGGACTTGCAGGTGTTTTCCTAACTGGTTTGCTGAGAGTTTCAAATCCTTAAAAAGAATCTGAAAGAATCTGAAACCAAGTGAAGTTTGGGCTTCACACTCTGAAATCTCCGTCCTGGGATGTGGGCTGGGTGTCTGTGGTTATTCAGAGCTAGGTAAGGTGTGAGCGTTGGAAGGAACTATAATCTGATGTACACCGGCAGACGTAAGGTGGGGGAGGAAAGAACTGGCTGAGCAGAAAAGAAAGGAATTAGAGTCTGCAGAGCACATCCTAAGGTTCTGGTGTTGCTAACTCCATCCCCGACCACCTCGCTGCTGGGAGCCAGCTGGGAGGGGAAGGACCGGCGACCCTGGGTTTGGTCTCAACCGCCGGCCTAGACACCTGGCCCTCCGGATCCGGCCGAATCCTCTCTCCCCTCCGGTTTCGCAAAGGGGCAGACACCGCGCTCGCGTTGGACACCATCAGATCGCGCTCTCCCTGAAAGTGCTAACTTCAGGGGCTCGGGGAGAGCAGACCAGAAGGGCCGGGCTGTGGGGTCTCAGGAGGCGTTCAGGTAGGGAAGAAGGACGTCCGCCCCGGCGGTGGCCGCCTCGCCTCCCCGTCCTCCACCCCCGGCGCCCCCACCCCCCACCAAGTCCGCAGGACCCGCGGCGGCCGCGCGGTGCTCGGCGCCAGGCTGGGGTCCCCGGCCCCGCCGCCGGGGCTGGCGTGGGGTGGGTGGGGTAGGGGCTGGCGGGTCCCCGAGCCCTAGCAGCCGGTGGCTCCGCGGACCACACACCGGGGCAGGCGACCACATTGCGCCCGCCCGAGAGCGGGAGCAGGCAGGGACGCGAGCGAGGCGGGGCGAGCGGCGGCTCCCGCGCACCTAGCGGACCGAGCCCCGCGGTCCCCGGCGGGCCGTCCCTCTCCATCCCTCCGCGGTCCCCGCCCTTACCTCTGGGCGCGAGGGTGCCGGCGGGGAGGGCGCTGGGGAGCGGCGAGCGGTCTCCCGGGCGGGCTCAGCGGCGGCCGGCGGCAGCGGGGTCGTCGGCGGGGCCGCTGCTCGGGGCGAGTGGCGCCCGGGGCACTGCGGCCGCGGCCACGGCGGCGCCTTCCTCCTCGTCCGGTTCGCGGGCTCCGAGCCGGGACGCAGCTACCGCCCCAGCCCCGCAGCCCTCCTCCCCTCCGCCTCCCCGGCCGCGGACGGAGCCGCCTCCAGCGCCGCCCCGCGCGCAGCCGGGCCAGCGGCAGCCAGCGCCGCCCAGCGCCCGGCCCCGGGGTCGCCGCCGCCGCCGCCGCCGCCGCCGCCCGCCCCGCGGTCCCAGCCCCGCTGTGACGCAGGCCGCCGTGCCCGGGAACTTCCTCCCCTGCGGAGACCACCCCGCGCCCGGACTGGTCGGCGAGGCTGCCGCCGGCCGCCGGAGGCTTCCTTCTGTAGGTGGAACGCGAACCCTCCCGCGCTCTCCGGCGGGGCCGCTCCGGCCTTCGAGGCGGCCACCTGGCGGCCTCTGCCTGGGCAGCGGGCTGCGTCTGCTACCTCCCCCATCCCTAACTGGGCGCGGAAAACCGAGGCTCCTCTGCGCTCTGCGGCCACTCCACTGCCGCAGCTCCTCCCATGGGTGTTCGAGGGGAGCAGCTACCTCTAAAAATAGCCCTTCTGGCAACTCCGCAGCAGGACTGGGGTCAGGGCAGAGATAATCCCTCCTCCTCATCTCCCGCCCCCTCGTGAGAACAGAAGGACCCCATAAGAACACAAGAATGGGAGGGGGCGCACTGAGGGAGACGGAGGAGAAAGATTAAACCCGGTATCCGTGCACCACGAAGCCCATGAGACCCTGGACACCCGAGTCTCCTCTCCAGCAGGAACCCCCATGTTCCTGGACACTCACAGCTGGGCTCCCCTATCTCTCCGCAGCAGGTTCCAGGGGCGCTGAAGTTGAACGCTCCGCCTACAATTGTGAGCTGTGTATAGAGGAGTTGACGGTACTCATCAAAACCACCTGTTGTTTAAAGAGCATGGGGGAGGGGTTCTCTCTTATTGATTGATCTGAAGAATGTTTGTCTTCTACTCGTTCTCCCCTTACCCAATTTCAGGACTGAAAAGCAAGCTCGGTCTTCTTGGAAGCTGACAGCTATCTGTACGGAAAGTCTTCTGCCCAGTGAAAAATGTTCAGACAAGATTGCTGATATTTTGTTATTCTGAGAGTACCTAAAATTAACCCACTGCTCTGTCCTGGCAGTCAGGAAAAGGCTGATGTACCTAATTGCCTTTCGCGAGTTGATCTGTTCTGACACAGGAAGCCTTAAGAGAGCAGGCACTTCCTTTTACCCCATTTCTATTTCCACGTCAAAATGAAATGAAAATTTGTCCAGAAATTGTTCTCTTAAGCTTTTAACTATTTCTCCCCTGCTTGCTGGGCGAACTACCACACTTTTCCAAATCCTGTACTGTCGTGGAAGTCAACCTTAAACCCTTGTAGGCTTTAGATGACTCTACCACCAGCCTTAATTCACCTAGATCGAGGCAAAAGTCTAGGAGAAGGTGGGGCCTTTCTCCTAGATGGCAGGTGGAAATATTCCTGGCAAGTTCCTCTGGAAAAGGCCGAGGTTGACTTTAGCAACTTGCTAAAATTGTGAGCACCTTGCAAGCCACCAGATACTATCTGAAGTAGTTCCCCCTCTTAAATATCTTACCTGGATTTAAATACTCAGTGAGGCAGGTACTCTAAGGGCACAAACCTGTCGAGGGCCTCATTTTGCAAGTGCTTTCTGAGCATCTCCAGCCTCTTGTACCATTGTCACCCTGACCTCAAGCTTAGGCATCCCTGAAATGCTCCCTCATTATCCAGTGGGAAGGAACTATTCCACTCTAGACATTGGACTGGGGTGCACCGGGAATGAATCCCTACTCTTCCTATGTAAAAGTAAGGGAGTTATTGCCAATTTTATTTATTTTTTTTCCATCAGCAGCAATATGGGTATAGTTCTTTAGGGTGCTGTGTAAAGTAGATAACATGCTTAAAGCAGCAAGAACAGTGCCAAGCACTTTATAAGTATGCAATAAATGGGAGCTACTATCAACGGTAGCTTACAATAAATTTGTACTTACTATGCTCTTCACAGACCTGAAATCAAAAGGACGAGGAACAGCAACAAGGTTTGGAAATGGGATAGGAACCCTGCAAGTTGAGTCTCCTGCCCTCCCCGGATGCTTAACTGAAAGAGCAACACTTTTTGTCTTTTGTCTAATAGGGTGTATTTGGGTACGTGTATATGCAGTGACGTGATTCACACACGCTCTCAAGTCTGAGAGGCACGAGTCTGCAAACCACTGTTTTCCCGCTTAGGTCACCTTTTCTTATTTGAGAGCACAAACCCTAAGCCTAGTTACCTCGCCTCAGTCAGCCTAACTCAAATCAACATCCACAGTCACCAAGCCCTAGGAAAAGAACCAAGTGAATCTATCATCAGCCAGCTCCTGTGAGTGCTGGATCTTGAGGGTCTCAAAGAAGTACAGTAGCCCCCTGATCTGTGGGGAATATGCTCCCATACACCCAGGGGGTGGCTGAAAGTGCAGATAGTACCAATCCCTATACACACTATGTTTTTTCTCCTATGCATACATACCTACAATAAAGTTTTATTTATACATTAGGCACAGTAAGAAATCATCAGTAATTAATGAAATAGAACACTTGTAACAATATACTATAATAAAGTTATATAAATATGGTCTCTCTCTCAAAATATCACACTGTATTGTACTCCGCCTTCTTCCTCTTGTGATGATGTGAGGCAATAAAATACCTACGTGATGCGATGAAGTGAGGTGAGTGACGTACGCATGGTGATGTAATGTTAGGCTACTATTAACTTCTTTTTTTTTTATGTTTTTTTTTTTATTTATTTCTAGGAGAGAGAGAGAGACAGCGTGAGCAGGGGAGGGTCAGAGAGAGAGGGAGTGACAGACTCTGAAACAGGCTCCAGGCTCTGAGCCGGCAGTCAGCACAGAGCCCGATGCGGGGCTCGAACCCACGAACCGCGAGATCATGACCTAAGTGAAAGTCGGACCCTTAGCCGACTAAGCCACCCAGGCGCCCCTACTATTAACTTCTGACAGATTGTCAGGAGGGTCGTATCCTTCTGGACCACAGTTGACTGTGGGTATCAGAAAGCATAGAAAGCAAAACCTCAGATAAGGGGAGACTACTGTATAAGGCTTATTCCTTGACTTCAAGGTGTTCACAGAACTTGAGAGAGGGAATCTGGTAGCACATGAATCAGAATAAACCATCTTGAACTAAATGTGATTGAATCTCAGAGAAAGGAGAGGGCACTGTGGCCCAGGTGAACTGTGCATACAGAGCCGCCACCTTGATCTCTCACTTACCCAATTCTTTAGACCAACATTTGACATTCTCAGTGGGCTTTCAGAGTGAGTTCCCACACTTGGGCTCCAGATGGTTACAAGTTGACCCTGTACTGATTGGTAAAAGGGAGCCGAAGTAGATCTTTCTGGGCAGTGCAGGGCTATGGTAAGGGATTTAGAATGATGCAGACCTGGGGTCAAGTCCTGGGTCCACTCTTTACCATCTATGTGATCCTGAGCCTCTTAATCTTTGAACCAGTTTCTCCATCTATGTGTTAGCACATCAATACCTACTTCTCTTAAGGTTCTAGCGAGACTCAGAAAGAATATCTGCAACCCTTCTAGTGGGTTGTATGGATGTGGTTTATACTGTTTTGTTGTTAGCTTCAAGACAATGCAGGCTGGGCCATAGCATTCCTTGAAAGCATATTTCAAAAGTCACTTTCTCTGTGAAGCCTCTGCAGGTTCCAGGCAAGTGTAATTCTCCCCTCCTTGTGCTCACACAGCACTTACCATGGTGTTAGTGGTTCAAGCCCTGCTCTCGGAGCCTGCTTTGGGTTCTATCTCCCTCTCTCTCTGCCCACCCCTCCTCTCAAAAATAAACAAACATCAGAAAAAAAAATTTTAATTAAAAAAACTTCAGGCTCTAAAATGTGAATCCCTGGGGCACCTGCATAGCTCAGTTGGTTAAGCATCCGACTTAGGCTCAGGTCATGATCCCATGGTTCGTGGGTTCAAGCCCTGCATCAGGCTCTGTGCTGACAGCTCAGAGTCTAGAGCCTGCTTTAGTGTCTGTGTTTCCCTCTCTCTCTGCCCCTCCCCAGCTCACACTCTGTTTCTCTCTCTCTCAAAAATAAACATTAAAAAAATTTTTTTTAATGTGAATCCTTTAGCTCATAGAGTTTATATTGAAATTATGTTATTATGCATCTGTATCTGCTTAACCTTGATTTTTCAATGCTGGGTTTGTTCTTGAAGACCAACCTGCTATGCTTGCTTTTATATTTGATGTTAGTTGATTCTGCCTAGGAATACTGCAAGTAAAATCTGAATTCTAAACCAAAACCACCAGCAGCGTTTAACCCAGCATTCTCTACCCACCCTTTACACATCTGCTCCCCAGATCCTTTCTGAGCTTTTGTGGGAAGGTCTTGAGCTAACAGAAAGCATTGTTTTAAGTTTCAGCTCTTAACACTGTTGCAAACATTAGCACTTTCTAAATTAATAGCCGCCAGATAAAATCACCTTTAGGGACAGCTTTGAAATCCTTGACTCTATGCCATTAAAAATGCCAAGACAAGGAGAATAAAACCTCTCCTAGAAAATGTCGTGTGAGCAGGAAGTTGCCCAAGAGGTAATGTGGCCAAATGTGGTCTTAACCCTAAAATGGCAGTTGAAATTGTGCCAGAGGAGAGGGTGGTGGTGCTGAGGACCTAAAAATAGGATACTGCAAAACTTTGGGCCGAATTTTTATAAAATCGTTTATAAATAATTTATTTCACCCTCCCCCGCTCCCCTCCTGAAGCGGGAGGCCCAGCAATTTGAACATAAGATTGAAGCGGTTGGCCCAGCAATTTGTGATATACTTTGGAAATGGTAATAATAAGTAAACACTTACTAGGTACATACGGTGTGCTAAGTACTAGCTTTCTATGTATTGTCTGATTTTTTTACCCTAGCTCCCCAGGCAGTATTATTTTCTCCTGTTAAGAGGAGAAAATTGGGGCACATTTTAAACAAGTAACTACTCAAAGGTCATATGACCATTGAGTGGAAGAATTAA